TTATAAAGATAAAATATACAATATATTTTCATATGCAATTGTACTTTGGTTCATGATGCTGTTAACACAAAACAGAAATTACACAACTATGAAACGTTTGACACTCTTTTCTTTCTTCCACCTGCCAGCAAACTTGTTGCCAGGCAAATATATTATCCCCAGTGCCTTTAATGGGATTTTAGTGTTGTTCCTCTACATTTATATGTTATACTTTAAAAAAACTATATTTCCACTGCCAAATACAAACACCCAAAATGTTTAGGACCCGGGTAAATGTTAACATGAAACTGAAATATTCTATATCCACATTTGTATATTTTATTTGTGTACAAGAGAGATGACAAGCAATGAATTTCATTCTGCGGCTTCCATTATGCGGGAGCCTACATCACTGTCGTATTAGGCCAAGCAGAATGGAGCAGATTGTTTATTTTTGTTCAGCTGTGCTTTGGGCTATAACATCAGATGTAGCTCTGGAGTGACAAATTCTAATTGAAGTGTCACAGATTAAACAAGGGCACAAAGGAGCTTTTTTGCCCCCATGGAACAGAAAAGATTCTGTCGCTTTCTATTTGCTGCAGTCATTGCTTGCATAAGCCTGTGGATAAACAATCAAAGAAAAGCCAGGGATTGCAATATTCAAAATAAAGCATTTTCATACATTAGGACCCTCGTCCCATTCCTGGGTGAAACCACCGCAACCTGTATATTAAAAATGCTCAGCATTGCTATTTCTTGTAGCCCATTGCCTTGAGTGTTTTATATTGCTGTAGGATTACATTTGAAACAATTCTGAATTATATTTAGAACTTCAGATAATATCAGGTAATTTTTTCTTAATATTATAACAGTAAGGTGGTGGTGGGTGGATGTGTCTTTTTAACTGCACAGATAAACCCATGTTGCCATCGCTGTAGGGGAGTTCTTCCTGCAAAAATTTAAAAAGAAAGAAAGAAAGAAACATCAATGCTGAAAATCAGAGTCTTCCTGCCTTTGAAATATCTGGCACTTTAAAGTAAGTGACCTTTTTCTAAAAAAGGTGCCTGTATAAATAACTGGAGCAAACATGAAAGAGGAATGGTTTAGTCAGCTGATGGGAATGGCTTAAAGATCTAAGCAGAAGGCCTGAAAAACACCCCAGGCACTGTTCCATGTTGTGCTACTCAGTAGTAACCAGTAAGGCTATGTGTGGTACCAACATACGGGTAGTCCTCATTTAGCGATTGTCTTATTTAGCAACTTTTCCACGGTGATTAAAAAATTGCTTTACATATACAGCCTTCACAGGTCTGTAAAGGAAAGGAAAGCTGAAGAAAGATAGTAAAATTATGAAGTTTCACTTGCCAGCTGACTTGCTTAATGACGAGTCTAGTTCTGGTAGCTAAATGAAGTATATTTGTCGTGATTGCAATAGGTGCTGGCCTTCAACAGCTTGACGTTGCTGTCATCTCCTCTTAACGTTGTCACCAACATGTGCAATTTTATTTTTCACATTTTTGGCTTTTATTGATTTATCTATACAGTAGAATCTTCTGACCATGACCAAATCAGGTTCCGACCCCAAAAATTACAATTTTTTTTCCATAGCCGATTTCCCCTTCCACGTCATTTTTTTTTTTTTGGTAAGCACCAAATTTTCAAAATTAGGTTCGCATCACGACCAAATCGGTTTGCAAGCAAAGTTATGGAGCAAATTATGGTTGTGATCACAGGTTCTACTGTATATAAAATCCAAAGAGAAATATAAATGGGAAATTAGGGAAAGGAGAAAAAGTGGGGGAAAGAAAATGTAAGGTACAAGGAGAAAAAAAAAAAGCTGTTGACTTCCGTCTCTTTTTAGCACAGTAAAAAGTCACTCCAGCCTCAACTTTTTGCTTTTACACACTAGTACATAACTAGCCAAATCTATCTCATTGACAAAGTCAAAGTGTCATTTTTTTTCATCACAAGCAGAAAATCCAGTAGTGATAGCTAAATGAAAAATGCCCTTAAATATATTCTTCTCTTAGAATAAAATAATCAATTTAACCATTTCTGCTTTATCTTCCTGGTTGTGGAAATAATATGTACTTCTATTTGCACCTAATAACCTTTATAAACTGTTGCCATTTATATTAACCAGGTTCATTGTATTCTTTCTGGTTCTTTGACCTTGCAGAGAAAAATACTTTTTTTCCATCCTTTTTAAAATGCTGAACTCTTCAAACACATCTCTGAAATAAAAACTTTCTAATATTAATATTTTAATATGAAATTTATGACCCTTTCTCAAAACTACCAGCATAGAGTTCTGTTTTTTTTCCCTTTCATATACATCCTTTTAAAAATCTAATTTCATTATAACATGGAATGGTTACCAAACAAATGGTTGTTAATTCAAGGTCTATCTTTACTTGCTTAAAACTAAGGAAATGCTCCCTATGACAAGTGCAAATGTTTAGCCACTCTGTACCTTGTAATTGTTGGTAGAATTAACAGCATCCAACATTTCCTGTAGCGAACAAAGCATTTTCCTGTTGTAGCTTTGGGATTATTTTGCTCTGTCTTCCTTATAGAACTCTTCTATTTTAAAACACTCTTAAGTCTCTTATCATGCACTGTATGTTGAGAATCACCCCAATGTCCCAAAGGTCGTGTGTTTGTGTGTGTGTGTGTGTGTGTGTGTGTGTGTGTGTGTGTACACATGTATGTGCAAGGTGTATAAATCCTTCCATTCCTCAAACTCCAGTCAGAGCTGAAGAAGCTTCTTGGATGAGAAGCAAAATATCTTCAAAGAAAAACCAGAAAGTCAAGTTGCCTCTTGGAAAAGCACTTTTGAAAAAGCACTTTTGACTTGGATGACTGAGAATCTCCATAGACAGATCTCCCCAATGATTTTCATAATATTCATGTGTGAGGACTGTAAAGGAATTCCAAAATCTTCATGGGTTTTTTCTTTTCTTACTGTAAGTACTCACGATTTATTTAGACATAAATTTTGGATCATTACCTTTCTGATACATATATTCCGCAGTTAGCACAGTTTACATTTAGAGCTTTTCCTTCTTGTTTCATAAAATCATTTTTGCATAGCTGGATTGAAATTACACAAGGAGGAGGATGCAGTAAAAGCCATTTTAAAAAGCTGTCTTGTAAATAAGTGAAGTTAGAGGGATTTTTTTTTAAAAAAAAAGTTTCTGTGTTCCTGGAATCAGGGACACGGATATTTCAACACTTCTGTCACTTTGCATGGACTGTAAAAGAAATAAGCGAGACAGAATTGGAGAGTATGCCAGCAAGGAAGCAACTGATGTGTCATATACATTTAGTGATATAGCTTGAATACTAAATCATTTGCTCCTAGTGTGACAAGATTCACCCCTTATTACATGACTGTCAGTTATGAAGCCAGCTCTCAAAACCAAGGACCTTTCCCCCAAAATGCTGGTAGCCTATCTGGTACTATTTACAAATTCTTTGCTGCTTCACTGATCTAATGATTGCTTATGTTAGAATGTTTGGAGCCTATGGCTTTCTTGAAGGAGAAAATAGTGGATGTGCCACTCACTCTCATTAAAAAAAAAAAAAAGAATACTCTAATTTTAAAAGGGAAACCTGTTATCTTTTCAGGGGGTTTCTTTTTTTAGTAAGGTTTTTTTAAAAAAACTTTTATACATCTCATTGCTTGAATGGTTTGATTCCTGGGTATCATACAGTTCAATACAAATAAACATAACAGTATTATTCCTAATAATTACATTTCATTTTTAGTTTTACTAACACATAATTTCTACTATCATCCCTCAATTCTAAACCTTCTCATACTTCTGCCATATGTTGTATCATCTTAACATCTGTTTTTACTATTTTCCCTCCTTATTTCTATTCCTATTTTAATCTTTCCCCCTTCCCCTATCATTCTAATATTCAAAGACATGAGCTTTCTTTTTTTTCATTATTCAATATTTCAATATCACTTATAACTTCAATAATGATCTTTCAAGCATTTAATGTATATTCATTGTTAATCACATTTTTACATATTTAATATTTTCCCAAACCTTCAATCCTTATAATTCTGCTATTAATACTCTTATTTTCATTGAAATATGTTCTTTCTTTGTCTAATCTCAAATTACTTAATCCTAGGTTTTCACTGTTGATCATATTTTTATACATATTTAATAATACCCTTATACAAATTCTAGTTATTTTACGAACTATTTTTCAACCTATATAATTCTAATAATAATATACACTGCATTAATAATTACTAATATATATATATATATATTCAAAATGATTTGTATCTCTTACATCCCATTAAAGCAGTTATCCAATTTTTATAATTCTAATATTCATACACATTGTTAAAATACTTTCATAGCATATTTTGCTTTACATTCCTTTTCTTTCCCTTTCTCCCATATCTTTCACCCTCATCCAAAATTTTGATCTTCTTTTTTTTGAGGGGGGGGGGTAGGATTGTTTCCCATACACTTCTTTTAATTATTTTATTTCACCTACTTTTGAATCTGTGTTACAACTATGCCCTCCAGTTTTCTCTCCCTTTGCCACTCCCCCCCCCGCCCACTGTTTAGTTCTATGGCTACCTGTTCTAACCCCTTTTTCCTCTCTCCAGCTCTCTTCCTGTTTCTCCCATTTCCTTTTTGCATCTTTTGGAATATTTTCCTTCTGTTCTAATCCCTTATTCACTATCAATTGTACTAATATCTTGTTGTTGTTGTCTTCTTCTTGCTGTTTTTTCGATTTTGTTGACTTTCAGGGGTTTTCTTTAGGGAGGGGCAAAGAAAAAGCAGGCAGTGACCTATTTGCAGTATCGATTTCACAGGAAAGGGGAACATAATCATTGCACTATTATATAATTAAAATGGATGGTGTATAGGCCAGACACCCCATATGCCAGTGTACTGATCCAGTAGCTTTTGGATAATGAAGTCCCAACATCACTGCAGGATCATAACTAAACCCATAATTCCTAGTGTAATAATCATCGGATCATGACTCAGTATGTAAGGGCTTCCCAAAGCTACTCATATGTGAAACTGGAGAGATATTTCAAATTTCTAGGCGATCCGATCAATGTTAGGAATCAGCCTAAGGCAAAGGTGAGAAAAGATTTGATTTTTGGAGCCAGAGCCACACTACAATTATAAGAATCTAGCTCTGCTTTTGGATGTTAAGTTTAAGGTTAAGGGAGAAAGGCAGAAAGGTGGGAAATTTAGGAAAAGTAAGAAGATTACAGTTATTTTTTTTATGTGGTACTCTGTTCTGGGCCATTTTTAAGCTATTAATAATGACTGTATATATTTTACAAATTATATGTCATTATTAGAGATCCAATATAGGAGAATATTTGTAGTTCAGGGTTGAAATGAGATGTCCTTGGTACTCTCTAAGAACTGATGATGTTACCTAGTTTGGGTAACATGGGTAAAATTTCTGTTTTCTTGCACACATTTCATTACCCAAACTAGGTAATATTATCAGTGCTAGTGCTTATGATGTTTGGGTAATGCAACATCTGCAAGAAAACAACCAAGCTGAGATAGCACCATGAACCCCTCATTATTAAAGTGTTTTCTATGATACAGTAGCAAGTAAAATAGTTTTACTTTAGCAGAATAAGTTGTAATTTCTACTATCATAAGTAAGCCAAATAAGCCTCATGGGTTTAGTCTTTATAAAAGAAAAGTCTGAGATTTTTATCAGAATTGAAATAAATCTTATTTTAAAGTTTAATAAAGATAAGCTGACCAATTATAATGCACCTATTTTAAAAAATTCCTTGATTTACTTCATGTACAGATAGTCTTCGACTTACGATTGAATTAAGGTGAAAATTGTTGTTGCTAAGTGAAATATTTGTTAAGTGAAATTTACTCCATTTTACTACCTTTCCTGCCACAGTTGTTAAGTGAATTACTGGAGCTGTTAAATTAGTGACACGGTTGTTAAATGAATCTGGATTCCCCATTGACTTCTCTTGTCAAACATTCGCAAAAGGTGATCACATGATCCCGGGATACTGCAACCATCATAAATATGAGTCAGTTGCCAAGCGGCCAAATTTTGATCATGTGATCTGATCATCAGTGTCATCAGTGTGAAAAATGGTCATAACTTAAATGTTGCCAGTTCCATTGAAACTTTAAAGGGACTACTTTGTAAGTTGAGGACTCTAGGAGGTTCACAATAGTTCCAGCCAGGGGTGAAATTCAGCAAGTTCTGAGTAGTTCGGAGAATGGGAAAATACTACTTCTGGCTGGCCCCAGAGTGGGGTGAGAATGGAGATTTTGCAATATCCTTCTCCCAGGAGTGGAGAGGGAATGGGAATTTTGCAGTATCCTTCCCCTGGAATGGGGTGTGAATAGAGATTTTGCAGAATCCTTTCCCTGCCATGCCCACCAAGCCACCTGACAGAACCAGCAGTAAAAAAAAATGAATTTCACCACTGGTTCCAGTCATTTAATTTATCATACTGTATCAGTTGAAAGCATACCGTTCAACTGGTTCTTTATTTATTTATTATGTTTACAAACCAGAGACTCTCGGCAGTATACAAGTAAAATGTTAAACATTTATAAAATTTAAAAGCATAGAAAATGGAAATAAAAAATTTAAATAGGGCAAGAATAGTTAAAATATGACATTAAAATTAATTAAAATGTGTGGTGGGAAGCTGTTACTGGATGGGAAGCTATCTTGTGACATTTTTCAATGAGAAAATAAGTAGGAGATATTGGTATAAATGCAACAGCCTGTTTGTTATTTGGCCTAGGTCAGTTTCAGCTTATATCTTCTATGCTTTGGACCCTGCATTTTCTTCCCTAAAGACTTCTGGATACAATATAAAGTGTGAGTTTAATGTATAAACCTCTATACAGCTTGGCTCTGGGGTATTGTTGACCCATCCAGTTCGTACTCGTCAAGAGAAACTGCTGTTGGTTTCCCAACTTTGAAAGGTGAGAGAAACTGAAGTTTGCCAATGGCTTGCAAATGGTTTGCAGGTGCTGTTTCTCTCTCTGTGTTTGTCTGTCTGTCTGTCTGTCTGTCTGTCTGTCTGTCTGTCTTTCTTTCTTTCTTTCTTTCTTTCTTTCTTTCTTTCTTTCTCATTCCCTCCTCCTTCCCTCTCTCCCTCTCCCCCTTCCTCCCTCTCCCCCCTGCCTTCTTTAGGAAATAACCTTTTTCTGGAAATCCAAACCACCACTTGGTTCACTGTTCAAGACTCAATAAAAATGTAATTGTTTGAAAGAGCGTTTGAGTGATGTAATCAGTTTTTGATTTTGTGAATGAGCATATTGTGCTACTATTTTCTTATTTTTATGATTTAATATTTTTAATATACCATGGATGTTTTAATTGCATTAATAATTATTATATGCTTATAATGTGAGTGGTTGAGAGTCTTTGATTACACTGAATACAGATGTAATAAATAAATACATTGCTTAAGTGTACAGGTGAAACTCGAAAAATTAGAATATCATGCAAAAGTTCATTTATTTCATTAATGCAACTTAAAAGGTGAAACTAATATATTAGATAGACTCATTACATGCAAAGCAAGATAGTTCAAGCTGTGCTTTGTCATAATTGTGATGATTATGGCTTACAGCTCATGAAAACCTCAAATCCACAATCTCCGAATCTCATATATTAGTTTCACCTTTTAAGTTGCATTATGGAAATAAATGAACTTTTCCACGATATTCTAATTTTTTGAGATTCACCTGTATTTTGTTAAGAAAGTTAGGAATCACATGTGCATCTTTTGGTATTCAAAGCTTTCTATCAGCCTTTCTCAACACTATTCTTCAATATGTATTTGATAGCAGTTTTCAAAATGCAGTATGGGTGTTGCAGTCCAGAAGATTTGAGGAATCCTTTATGCTTTGGCCAAATATAAGAGAAATAAATGGATGGGAGTAAACAGGATTTTATTTTCCCATAAGATAGAAAATATTATTGAGAAAAGGAAGATGTATCTTTTCAAAAGGTAAGCAACCTGCTGCTTTCATACTGAGGTTGCACAGCTATTTATTTGGCCTCTTTGGAATAAAAAAAATTGTTTGACTCTGGTGAGGCTACCTTGCATTGGCTCAAACTCTATTAGCCTTAGATAGAAAATCAAAAACTAAATCGTCAGCAGTTATAGTGACTATGTCAACCTGGCTGGATGTATACATTATGCAAAGCCATGGTTTGTTGCAAGCATGAATAACCCACAGTAGCTGGATTTTAGTTCTTGCTAAGCTAAAAAAGTGTATCTTACAAAATTGTAATAGTTGGACTTACAAAACATGCTAAACCAGTACAAACCAAATTGCACTATGTTTTGCAGTATATGGTCCTAAGCAAATCTGATTGCTTAAATATTATTCTCCATAGATACACATTGTTTCCTTGGCCCTTCAGGCACAACTCCAAATGGAAGATCTGGAATCACAAAGGTCTGAACCTCAGCAGGGGTTGAGAAACAGGAGAACAAAGCAACAACATGGCTTTAAGAAAGAAGCAAATATCTGGTAATAAAAATAGGGACTAGTAATCACAATAAAATAAAAGTAGTGCTAGGATGAAGATCTGGAACTGCTGTCTTGCAGTCTCCTCATAAGGAGACCTTTTTGGAGCCCAGGTGGTCCAGAGAGGTTCTGAAGAGCCTGTCTATTCATTGACTTTTTGTTCTTCTCAGCAGTCATTGGTTCTGCTTTCCACAAAGCTACTTTCAGACTGTCATTTCTCCTTCTGGAAGTCCCAAAGTCACACAAACATCAGATTAACCTTGTGCCAAATTAAAGTGGAGTCAATATTCACAAAGCAGTGAGTAATCAAGATAACTGATGCCCATATTCAAAGGTAGTTACACCAATTCAAATCTTTGGGGTAGTGTTCAGGATGGATCATAACAAAAATGCAATTATACATTGATTGTTCTGATATTTGCTTGATGAGAGAGAGGCTACTAAAGAGAATGGAAATTGTAACAGTCTGGTGATTCTTTGAACTTTTTGACTTCTGGGAAGGGGTGACACATTGTTATTGGACTATCTTTCCTTGCAAACTTATCAAGTGGCCAGTTCCAAAGTTCATCTTCTGAATTCATTGAAACTTTGTTGGTCACACATTGGCATCTTCTTGGAAAATAAATTCTCTTTCATTGAATTAACAGAGGAAATTCATATATTTCCTTGACTCTATGGAGAAAAACATGTGTTGCTTCTTAAAAAATTACGTGCTTACTTTTATCCATACCCAAAGGGATGCCAGAGCAGCATTCAAAGTCAGTATAGTAAAGCAACTTAAAATCCAAACGTAATCAAAAAGTTATCCAGCTATCAAATCAGTCTTAAAATGAAAAAAATATTTCTTTAAAAAAGCCTGTGCAAAGATGAGATTCAGTTCCTAGATCTAATGAGTAAAAGAACGAGAGGACGAGCAACATCAGCATATTGATGATTTCTTATTTCAGACTAAAAGTTAACCTTATTGTGCAGATTTTTGATGTGACTTTCCTGGGAAATTCAAGCCCACTATCTGTTCATAGTGCATGGATCTACACCAAGGGTCCCCAACCTATGGTCCATTGATCGGCATCTGTCCCTGGTATACCAGCTACCAGTCCATGCAAACAAGCAAAGTCCCATCAGCGACTTGCAGGCAGCATGCAAAACCACACCCTCTCTGGTCTGCAAAAAATCATTTCTCCATGGAATTGGTTCCTGGTTCCCCCAAAGGATTGGGGGCCATTGATCTGTACTGTCTGTAGTAGGAAGTTGACACTCTTGTCATTACATCTTAAAATTACATTGGGAGACCATTAAATTTCTCCAGCATTTAGTCTTCAAAGAAGAGATAGGCACTCACGTACCTTGTTTGATCAATTGTCAAATTTTAAGCATTAATTTTGTAGTGAAGCAATGACAGCTGGGGATCAGAAAAGAAAAGCAACCCAGAATGAGGTGAACATTTTATAGTTTGCTATGTTCTATCAACCAAATCATGTTTGGGTCAATAAACTATGGTGAGCAGAAATCATGATATAGTTTTATTTGTAATTACCACTTCAATATGTAACCAAAAGAGTAAACTGAAATTTCAATCTAGA